GGTAGATATGGAGCAAGGGTAGATATGGAGCAAAGAGCCTGCCCAAAAATGTCACTAGATACACTGCCCTTTACAACAAAGATGGTTCAAAGAAATCTCAAAATTAAAAACCACTGGGTCAAGGAAACAATTAATATTTGGTCAAGAATAACAAAGAAATATAACCTTCCTGACACTATATCGAAAATTTTAAAAATAGCTAAGATTCCAGATTTTATCCCAGCTTCTATGGATGTAGGGTTTGAGAGATGGACAAAAGGAGGACTGGTATTTATAGCACAGCTCTTTAAAGGGTCAACAATGAAATCTTTTGAACAAATTCGAAAGGAATTTAATCTACAAAAACAGATTTTTTTTAGATTTCTACAACTTAGACATTATATCCAGAATCATAGTGACTGGCAGAAACTTTCAACAGACATGACAAAGACGGAAGAGATTCTATTATCAATAGCAAAAGGTGATTCTAAAAAAGGTCTCATATCAAAAATATACAAAGCCCTGCAATATGAATCTAATGTTAACAATAAAGAAATTAAGGAGAAATGGGAATTGGAGGCTAATATAATAATAGCAGATGAGGATTGGGAAGAAACATTTAGCTCTGGACACAAATTAACCAACAGTCCGACATGGAGGGAGTTTGATTGGAAGGTTAAGATGCGTTTCTTTAACTCTCCAATCATCACTTCTAAATATGCTAAAACATCCCAGCTTTGTTGGAGAAATTGTGGAAAGGTGGGGGATTTTACTAGAGATGCTCGATATTGACTTTTTGCCGATTTTCGATATGCCGATATTGTTTAACACTTAATTTCCGATTACGATATTAACCGATATTACAAACCGATATTAAAAGGTGAAATTATCTCCTGTCAGGGACATTAGGCCTGCTTTATTGAGTTGCCCCACTGGATACATTCCATAGGCAAACAGTTAATACAAAATAAGAACCATTTCAACTGAAGTTATGGAAAAACTGCCATATTTATTTTTAACATTTTTTTGTCTCAAACAATAGTTTGGATCATGATCTTCCTGAGATAATCCTGACAATGCCCACTACAACTAGGACAAATTTGACTTAACAAATAAAATTAAACATTGTCACTGTTAAAGTGCTTGGAACATGTAATGTCARCTAAAATAACAAGTAAAATTTACAGCCTACTATAATGTTTCATTGTCAAATAAAATGTGGCTGGCAATAATAAAATTTTGAAAGCTGCACATTTCTGTGAGATACAAAGAACACTTGAGAAATGAGGTAAACTGCAAAGAAAGGAAACAAAAGTGCACACAGACTTGGCTGCCCATCACTTGGACTGATACAGTCATTGAAATTATAAACTCAGCTCAGCTTTCAAAAGCAGATGTGATTGCTTCTGACGTATGAGAACCACGGCATTCTTGAGAATGAAGCACAGCCCTTTTTAGCACAAAGTCTTTATCTAGCCATTGAGCAGTTAAGCTTAGCATGCTAACCTGGCTAACATCTGAAGACCAGATATCGGTGGTGAAGCTAATGRACACAGCCTCAGAAATTAGCTTCTCGACATGTCTGTAAACGACATTGTATAACTCAGGCAGGCAAACATCAGATAAATACTTGCGACTGGGCATGGCAAAGCGTGGTTCGAGGAACTCCACAAGTTTGGTGAATCCGGCATCTTGCACGATCGAAAATGGCTGGTTATCTAGCGCGATGCACTCCATGATTTTCTGATTTATAGCTTTTGCTCTAGGATGGTCCTTATTGTATTTTTGTTTGTTCCAAGTGGACTCGTTAAGCGATAGCTGGACAGTTTTTTTTTTTTGATGCAGCCTGTCCGCGTTGCTTCCTTTCCTCGTTTTGCTTTAGAAATGCTGCGTGTACATCGGAGTGATTCTTCCTAAGATGTGAGATTAAATTGGAGGTATTAAAAGAAGACGTCTTGGTTCCTCCGCGCATAACCAACGCGTTGCAGTCATTGCAAATGGCAAATTTAGCATCCAAAGGCGACACTTTGAAATAATTCCAAACCACGGACATAATCCAGAAAGAAGAGCGCAAACCTATTAGCAAGAGTGGGCTAGCTACTGTTGTTATTATGCCTCACAGTGCAGTTTGATGATGTCATCAATCATGYGCCGGTAAACGTCTCCGGACCCCAAGCGTTGTTGCCAGGTCTGCATGTGTTATTTTATCGGGCTTTTGTTATCAGAAGAAAAACCGATACCGATATGTAGAGATTTTACATTTTTATGCTAATAAAGATTTTACTCATATATTTTGGGATTGCCCGAAGATGGTCGAGTTCCCCACCCACACCCCCTCCCCTACCCACTTTGATGCGTTTTTCAATTTTTGCCTTGGGGCGGAGTTATCTTTTCACAGGGGGGGTAAGATACACTTTAAGAACATTTTAAGAACATTTTTAAGAACAAGTGTGCACTTTAAAATTTACAAAAAAAGTCATCCAAAAGTAAATTCAACTTAAATTTTTGTAAAAAAAAAATAAAATAAAAAATGAAACTTTTTTAAATTACCTAGAAACAATTTCAGAACAGTACACTATAAAACTTACAAAAAAATCTCATCAAAAAATAAATACAACTTAAACTTTTGTAAAATAAATAAATAAAAAAAAATGAACCATTTTTAAATTTCCAGAAAATAATTTTACAACAGTACACTGTAAAAGTTATCAAATATTTGGGATAAAAAACTCAACACTGCTTGAACTCCAAGAACAAAACGAACTACAGGGAACAAAGAAACAGATTAAATCATACCTGCAGGTATTTTTTCCAATAAGTGGTGCACTATCTTGCTGCTCTCTGTTTGTTTCTCGAGCTTTCTGAGTGCCATTTTATATGGACTTATTTTTACAGAGCATGGTACAAGTAGTTTTTTGTTTTTTGTCTCTGCCTTGCGTTGTTGTTGAGTGTCAGTCTCAGCGTCGGTCTCAGGGTCGATTTCAGTTTCAGCGGAGGAAGTCCCCGACTCCTGGTAAACGACCGGCGTGTTCTTATCAGGGTCGGAGCTGCTGTTACTGTCTGGGGACGATGACCTTTTGTTCTTTCCCCGTCTGTCTCCGCGAGGGGCTCGTGAGGATCTCTCTTCAGCAGATGGTGCCGTGCCTGAGGTCGAAGGGAGGGTCTCACCACCACTGCTTTCATGGGATGGGGAAACCATCATGTTCTTTACCAGTTCCCTGACTTCCAGAGTCTCGCTCATGCCTGGGTTTTTGGTGTAATATTTGTCAGCCGTTTTAGTGTCATGACACATCATAAAGCTGACCCATTTGCCCTGGTCTGGAGGCAGGGTTTTCTTGGCCTGCAACCACAAGGAGGGGTCTGAATCATTAGCAATTCATACATGTGCATGGCAAAGAAGATGGCGGAACAGAGCGATTATATTTACGCAGTTGGAAATGGCAGTGCAGATCAGGGTGAAATTAATATCACCCTTCAGCCCCATCTGTCTCCATGCCTGCCTCAAATATCTGGTAATGTTGCGGAAATTCTGGCCGCCAATAGTGAAGAGCAGGTATTTGCTCTGMACCAACATCCTGGCCTTTAGGAGCCTGATCCGCTTTATCCACGTGTGCTCAGCTGGTGTGAGTGCCAAGTTTGCCTCACCAAACTGGACAGTGGTTTTGTGGTCGGCAACCTGTTAGTGTAGAGACAATAAAAAGGTAAACATTTGTAAAAAGAATTCCAGTCCTAGTAAGTTGAAGTGTACCATACAACATTTACATACTCAGATCAGTATGCCTTCCCCAGTTGCGTCTTTCTCTGCCTTGTCAATGTTTTTATCAGTGAGGTTGATGAAGACGCTGGGCCTGTGTCCAGTCAGGCATGCCAGGTATGCTCCGAGGTAMCCAAACAGGAGGTACCTGGTGCCCGTTTTTGAGCTGTTTAACTCCAGTAGGATAGAAGACATTGGTTTTGGTGAGAGATAGTATCTGATGGGTATTGTGGCATGAAAAAGAGAGAGGTAAACTTACCAAGCAGCTCTTCTATTTTTGCCAGTGCCAGTTGCAAACAGGTTTGGATGGAGGCGATGGAGGGTATTTTCTTCATCTTTTCATGCTTGATCCTGTTTGCATGGATGGTGATGTCCCGGCTGGTGTTCCTCCTCGCCTTTTCTAGGAACATCCGGATCTCTCTGGCTTGTTCATGGGTCAGCTTGGAGTGTGGTGGTTTTGACCCAATCTTGAAATCTATAAACTCTATCACATTATGTATATAGTACCTAACTGTGGTAATCGTCTTGCCACTGTTTGTGACATCTTTGATCCACCTGTGGTGTTGAAGCAAAATGTTATTGAAAACACATTAAATACCAAAAAATAAAAATAAACACGTGGAGCCGTGTGGACCCTGTTACTCACTGATTCAGTTGGGGGAGGTTCATTATAAATCTCCAATTGGAGATTTTTTTCTGGTCGATAGACATGTATTAAAGGAAGCTCTTGACAYGGTTGATCCTGGCCATGTTTGATTCCATCATCTTTGGGGTGCCGGTAGGCCTGTGATAAAAGGCCCTGAACTTTTCTACATAGGCATCTGAAATGAGGTTGAAATTTATGTCAGTAGCTTTAGTGAAAAAGAACAGCCATGCACATGCTCGGAGTGACTCACGCATGGATTCAGGCAACCACAGGTGCCTCATCATGTTTCCTTTAGAGACCCCCATGGACCATGTTTCGCTTCTTTTGGGCTTCCTTTTAATCTTTGGAGTGGTGATGGGGGAAGGTTTGGGTTTGGGACGGGAAGGGGTTTTTACAACAGTCATGGGGGTTGACAAATGACTGCTGGGCTCACCAGCAATGTTAACATCTGGCTGGACATCCCCCTCTGGGATGATTTTCTCTGGTACGATGTTTTCCTCGRGAATGTTGCCCTCCGGGAGGGTGTCCAGCCACTGTTCAACCTGTGGGTCCTCCACAAYGACTTTCTCCTCCACCTGTTCCTGCCCAACCTCTTCCTCCTCCACCTGTTCCTGCTCCACGTCTTCCTCCTCTTCCTCATCCCCCTCTGTCCTCTTTGTCCTCTTGTCAACATAAATTCTCTCCTCATGTGTGGAGAGGAGAATTGTTTCTTCAGACAGGCCGGGCTGCTCCTTGTCATCCATAGTACAGTAGAGGGCAGAAAAAATGAAGAATTAGTGACGAACAGGAACGTTGGTGTGTGAGTTGCACCTTAAATCCAACTGTATCAAAAGTCAGGAACAGTACAAAATAAAGAGCTCACCACTTCCTACTCGCCAAATTCTCCTGCCAAGTCCTCGGAGTCAGACGAGTCTTCGCTTTGGGCTGGAGCCTGTCTTTTCTTGCCCCGGGCTTGGCTTTTCTTCTTCCGGCAACCTTCTTGAGACAAGTCCTCAGACTCAGACTCAGACAATTGTTTTCCTTGGGCAAGAGCCTCTCTTCTCTTTGCCYGGGCCTGTCTTCTTTTTTCCTGCTCCTGTCACAGACAAACAACAAAGGCCATACTGACTATCATCTCACCCTGAAAGGCAATGCTGAAAAACACAGATCTTATCAATCACCCACCTCCTGATACGCCCACCTTCTCAACTCTGACTTGTATCCTCCAGCCACATGTTTGGCAATCTTCAAAGCCCTAAAGCTGGGCATTCCTTTCTTCAGTGGCCTTCAACTGTGACTGTAGTCTGTAAAAAGTATCAAATAACACCTGGTTAGACTCTGTGTAAACGAATCAGATGACATCAAAAACAGAAAAAATAATGCTTACTCTCTGATTGTTGAAGCACACTCAGCACTTGCGCACGTGCTGGAGTGGGAGGCAGAGGGCTCCTGAGTCTCTTGTGGTGGAGGACCCTCCATCAGTGTTTCTCAAACCTTTTCATGCTGAGGACCACTTAACCTGTTTAAAAACCACTTACGGACCACCTAATTTGAAATTGCACCCACAAGAACACAACATCAACACAAACTGAAATGAAAACGTATTTTAACTCACTCATTGTTGTCTTTTTTTCRTCCTAATGAGAAGAGTGGTGCTGCTTTTTCTGTGTCATGAGCGAAGCAATGTCTCGCTCCAAACTTGAAAGTTTCAGTCTCATGTCATAGTCCACGCTGATCCGGTTGCGATACTTTGTTTTCAGGCCAACAAGTGTAGAAAATCCTACTTCACAGTTGTAGGTGGATGGAAATGGCATCAAAATTTTTAGAGCAGAGTCAGCTACTGTAGCTCAGGATACTCAGGTTGGATGTGGAGCCAAAACTCTGTTAAAGTTTTCTCTCTGAAAGTTGTTTTCAGTGTCCCATCTGATGCAATGTCCACAAGGCTGTCCACCTGTGTTGGTGAAAGCTTGGAACTGACTTGCTCAATTCGCATTTTATCCCCAAATGGATTTCAGATCCACTCAAAGTTTGTTTAAGTCTGGGAAATATATTTCTAGCTGCGAGTGGAGGTTTTGCAGATGTTGCTTGAAGGATGCAACTGTGGTCCTGTCTAATTCCTCTCCAGCAACAAGGATAAAGTCTGTGAGTGTTGGAAAACTGTCAAATTCCCTGCGATCAAGACGGCTGCACCACAGTTCCATTTTGAGGCGTGTGGCTTTAATTTTGTCCTGGACATTAAATACAGTAACAGCCTTCCCTTGTAGAGCCACATTCAAAGTGTTGAGAGTGCTGAAAATATCAGCTAAGTATGCCAACTTTGCTAGCCACTGGAAATTATGCACATTGTCATACAGTTCATCAGTATGGTCCTGGAAGAGTTTTACTTCATCTCGAAGTTCAAACAGGCGGGTGAGAAATTTTTCACGTGACAACCAGTGAACTTCTGTGTGAAAAAGAATTGTTTGTGTTCACTTTCCAATTCATCACATAGCTCTTTAAACAGACATGTGTTCAATGGCTTTCCTTTAATCTTGTTAACTATTTTCACAGACTCATCCAGGACAAATTTTAGGCACTGTGGCATTTTTTTCACAGCCAGCTGTTCTCTGTGGATGCAACAGTGTGTTGCAGCTGCAGATGGTGCCACTTCACGAACGCGTGTTACCAGTCCTTTATGTTTTCCCATCATAGCAGTTGCACCGTCTGTGCAAATGCCAACACATCTTGACCAGTCCAGATTATTTGTCACAAAATAATCATTAAGTGCATGGAAAATTGCTTCCCCTGTGGTGTTGGTTTGTAGTGAATGACAAAAGAGAAACTCATCATGAACTTCACCGGCATAAATATATCTTTCATAGCTCAGCAGATTTGCCACATTCCAGATGTCGGTAGATTCATCCAACTGTAGTAAGAAAAACTGACTTTGACGTAAATGTGCCACCAGCTGATCTTCCACACTTTCTGCCRTCTTTTATGCGTTGCCGAACGGTGTCATTGGAGAGCGGGATTCTGTCAATTTCATCACTAGCTTTCTTACCAAGCATTTTGTTTGTCATTACTTTTGCAGCTGGTTTTATTTAAGTCTCACCTACTGAATGAGGTTTTCCTGCATTTGCAATCAAGAAGGATACCTGATACGAAGCCTCTGTAGCTTTTGCATTTTCCCCAGGTGCAAAAAACTCAGATGTCTCCTTCATCATATGCTTCTTTAGTTCATCACGTTTTCTTTAAAAAAAATCTGATAGGTTTCTCCACATAGTCCTTGTGTTTAGTTTCCATGAGTCGTTTTAATTTCACAGGTTTCATCGCCTCATTAGAGTTGGGTATTGAAAGTGTTTATTTCGATACCGGTGCWAAATCGATACGTTCAAAACGGTACCGGTTCCTAAGCGGTATTTAAATCGGTAGTTTAAAAATAAATAAATAAAACACACAGTCACACAGAGGTTTATGAAGCAATGATTATTTCTGAGGCAAAGTCAAACTTGAAATTGACCAACATATTAACGTAAAACTAGAAAACATTAAAAAAAATCATGTCTTATTTTATCTAGTGCTAAATATTCAGTTTTTATTTGTACATTAATCAGATTAATATATACATAAATTAAAATGACTTTTAATATTCCAGCATTTTTGATGCAAAAGCAGCAACAGGACTAAATAAAACTGTCTGACAACTCAGAGAAAAAGGACAGACACACACTCATAGTCTGCCTCAGTCTGCACCTGTTTTTTTCACACCGGGCAAAAAATGCATTTAAACCAGCTGAAGTTAAGTTTAGAGCACAGTTTGAAATGTACACCGAAGGAAACCTGCATCCTGACTTAATACTGCGGTCAGAGCTAACGTGATCTGCAGCGTCTGTCTGCTGCACGGTGGAAGCTCAACGTAACAGCGAGAAAGGACTGAGAGCTTTTTATTTTAATCCAGCAGGGAGAACAATATAGGTGTTCTTCTATGCCTCCTGTGAGCAGTTCCAGCATTTTTTAAAAGAAAAACAACTCGGACACGCTAATTACAGTGCGGTTTCAAACCGAAAGTAAAAACATGGAGCTCGCTGCGCTCCCGTTCAAAGTGAAATTTAACACACAGCTGTTCTCTCTACCACACATAGTTCGACACAGAGGGCAGAAACAGCTAAATTAGACAGTTAAAACACATTAAAAGTTCATGACTCACCCCTATTGTTGYTGGCACTCTGTGGAGATTGTGCAGAGGCTGTCACTGTTAACAGTGAACACCAGAGGGTGCAATTAACAGCTTCTTTGAGGTACCGAAATAAAG